GAAGAAGGAGGAAGGAGGAGAATGTCGGAGTCATGATGTTTGTCTTCCCAAGTAACCAATACGCATGATGGAGCCCTGCTTTCCTGGAGATGGCTGAACACCTGCCTACTGATGGGAAGCTGTGAATGAATTCCATGGTTTTTCTTGTTTGTGTGCAAGGCTTTTGCTTTACCTATTAAACTGTCTCTATCTCAACCCACGAGTTTTCTCACATTTCTGATTCTCTCCCCCATCCCACCGGGGGGGAGGAGTGAGTGAGCGGCTGTGTGGGACTTAGTTGCCAGATGGGGTTAAACCACAATACTCATAAATGTCACTACAAATCGAGACAAATTATTAGCTGAAAAATAATTAACATAATTGCTGTCTTATCCCATTTCTTTCCTTTAATGTTTCTCTAAGTAATTTCCTAGCTAGTAAAGACTGACCTAATAATCACTGACAAAACAAAGCACAGCCTGCATATGCACTTTAAATTTTCAGCCTGCCATGCAGTTACTATCCTGCCCTTGGATGATGCCACTTTTCAGTATCAAGGCTTTAGTGTGCCATCTGGTGGACTTTCAGCATTTGGTACATTTTTCTTATGTACAAACCCAGTGACAAGGAGATGCCCGATACACTGCCAGGAGTATCTACCTTCTTCAGTCAATGTCTTTGTTATAGAAAAAACAGTATTCATCTTATCATCCCTTATTTGCTCAAATTAGATTTTTGTCTGAGAATAATAACTAATTCCTCTCACATTTCCAGTCAAATGAGTTTTTACTACTGTAACTATTGTAACATTAGCTAATCCTGATCAATTTTATATGTAAATGAATGGTGGCTCTCTCAAAAAAAAAACTTTACAAAACTAGCCTAACAGAATTCCATATTTAGGGCCACATGTCAAAACCCTCAATGTCATTTACATGCTTAATTCTCACTGACCAAACATGCTAGGATTAGTCTCTATTTGGAATGACAGTCAAAGATATTAAAGCAAATCTATTACCATATAATACAACTTCAAACAAAATTAATTGAGTACTGATTCTTCATTCTAAGTACCGCAGCAACAACTGTCATTAAAAATAATGTTGTTTTTTATGATACCACACAAAAATGTGAAGCCAGCTAAAATACTTGACAAAAAAAAATAATCTGAGCATGAGTTTTCTACTGTATGCACCCTTTCTTTGTAACTGTGAGGCATTTCTTCATTTCTCTTTTTTTATAGAGCATGAGTTGTGTGATGAGGAACCTGGAATGGATTCAATTTCAGAATGCACCGGGTCCTTTGAGCACATGGCCTTAAGAGGGGGTGTATCTTCTGCTCCAGCAAAGCGCCACGGGCACTCTTCCACTCTGCACGAGATGCAGTATATTCCATTGCAGCCAACACTTCCAGGATTTTAATGCTGGATGGAGGCTGCCCTCTGAATGAATGAGCTGCAGCTGCCACAAAAGAGCATGAATGGGCAGCTGGACGAGGCTTCTACCCAACATATGATGTCAATTCAGAAACCTGGGCTTAAGATGGCAATGACAGTATGGGAATAAAAGAAAAGATCAGCTGAGAGGTGCTGCTGGATATGTGGCTGTTAATGAGTCTCCTTACTGGAGTCTGGCCTTCTTTCCGTAAAGAGAAAACAAGACAAACACAGATAAAACAGAAAGGAAAAAAAAACAGCAGTGATTGAAAACGCAGCTTTTGGTTTTGGTGCCGATTGTTACTGGCAACCTGACCGCCAGAGAAAAACAGGCTCAGCACGGTTTTATCAGCCACTGTGAGACTTGGCAAACGTACCAATGCTGTGCTGTTTTAGACATTGATTTTAGCTGCCTCTTTGGACACAGGCTCACTGCAGTCAGTGCTACTAAAAGGTCAGCTGAGACTGAAAGCTAACATCAAGAAGTGAAAAGCAGATACATAACTAGGGAGGAAAAAGAAGACAAGAAATTAATGTGGGGATATCAGAATTTAAGTGTTACAGTCCAGGCAGTTTTAAGAACTGGACTCTGACTGGGGGAGGTGGCAGTTGGATTGAAGTTCCTCTCTTTCACCAGGACATCTTTTACAATCAGATAATGAAAGCCCAAGTCATATGATGGGTCTGAAGTCTCTAGGAGACTGCAAAACAAAGCTGCTTTTTATCCAGATAAGCTATGTTGCATCAGCAAGCAGCGTGACTTGACAGGTGTGGACTCACAGAGAAAAAACGCTGCTGCTGGGACCATGTATCTACACCAAAACAGTTTCAAGGATGCTATTTTGAATTAGCTCTGGCCTGATCCCATACACTTAGTGACCATTAGGATTTCAAGTTCATTCTCCAGATTACTTTAGCCTGAAAGGAAAGCTGGAAGACCCAAGAGCACTTTGCAATGAAAAACAAACCACAGCAGCAGAGATAAATGGAGATTCGACTAGAAAGTGCAGACTTGATCTCAACTGAAATACCTACACATGACCACAGCACCATTGGCCTTGGGTGCCAACCATTCTTGGCTTCCAGTCCAAGTGGTAGCGTGGATACTAAAACATAACTCTTTAAAGACTACTGGCCTTGTCCACGTAGGTTAGGGTTTAGCCCAGCCGCTGTAGGCCCCATACAGGATCTGTAGGCTTTAAGGCATTATTATTTTACTGTAGGTTTTCCATTTAGAGTGCCTGATACAAGGCCAAAAAAATTTTGCAGCCTGTCAGAGTGAGCCTTTCTGTAGGCTGCCAGAAAGGGCACGTGCTGCATGCTGTGGGGTATAGCACACACGAGTGAGGGGTTTTCTGGGGACAGAAGTCCACGGGGATAACCCCAGATTGCTGCAGGAGCAGAGGGAGGGAGCCCTTCTGGCACCGTTTTGTCCAACCTGCCTACAGGCAGAAAGACAAAAGTCCACATTTTTGTTCATACTGCCTTTCCATCTTATTTGGAGTTTTTATTTTAGGAGCAGAGTTAGCTTTTTATTACCCTGGATAAAGTTGAGTGGAACCCTTAGTGCATTGCACGTTCTCACTGCAAACTAAATCCACTCATAAATAAGAGTTATAAAATGTAGGAACAGAAGTGGATGCAGTTATTGTATAAGGTCTTTAACCAAGATTGAAAGCACATTGCAAGGATTAAATATGATCTGAGTAAATGAAATAAAAAATACAGATATTTCTTCCAGAAAGCTCAGAGTGTATAACATACAATTAATTTCGACAGACATTAAATACCTTGGAGGATTAAAATCACAAGAGAATACAGATCACAGTAGTTCAAGACATTTTCTCTTTCAATTTTCCAAGTTCAGTCTGACATCTGAAAACCATTTTTGTCAGTTCTTTCACACTAATCCAACTTAACTTGCAGTAAAGTACTGCAAATTATACCGTTTGTTTTACCTGTGAAAACTAACAATGTCCTGTCTTCACAGCACGTTCAGTCAAAGAAAACCTTCTGGTGATACAGTATTTGAGAAGTTTCAAAGGCTTTTGCATCACTTAACATTTTATAAGGAGTTCAAGAATTTCTGTCATTTGATGTTAAGGCTTGTTTTTATAGAACAGTGTTTCTAAGGCCTCCACAGCACAAAGAAATGTTAACACTTTTAATAAAATTGATGTATCAGAAAGTTATAACTCCCCATGTGGATTTAATCAGTGTGACAGCATACATTTACTAAAACAAGCTAAGCTGATATAAATGAGATTTAAATCAAAGAATATCTTTTCAACATTTTGCACCAGTTCAGTTAAATCAGGTTAAAATTAAATCTTAAGGCAATACTGTGCAACTCTGTGCTTTCATAAAGCCTGACCAACTTTTCTTGACAAAGTCTTCACTGATCAGCCACAAGTTCCATTGGTTACAAAAGGACAAGATTTTTTTTGCGATAGCTGTGGCTCACTTTGTAGGTCATTGCAGTGTGCAGTGCAGCTGCATCCCTTTTATTATCTTTCTTCTCTTTCTCTCTTTTAGTATGTTGTTAATAAAATGGTTACGAAATTTCTCATTACTTGCACAAATTAGACCCAGGACCAAGCAACAGAAAACAAATTCTGTATTTTTAAAATAGAACACTATTTAAGGTAATTTGACATCGTGGTTTTTTGTCTACATCACCGTATGTTCGATTTAAATTTACAATGGCATGGTAACACAGCCTTTTGTCTACCAAATGTCCGATTTCCATTCATGGGACAACTGGATGCGTAAGAGGGGGTCATTACATGCAACATCAGATGAAAAGAGAAAATAAGTTATGCTGATCACTGACGTAGAGCCTGAAGAGGCAGTAAATGGTGTGCCTGAGAGCGTAGAGACGCATTACCCAGTCAAATCCCCGCTTCTAGGTGCTACCACAGCCCACCCCGCGGGCCCAGGGCTGTGGCAGGGAGGGGACACCGGCGCAGGGGGTCAGCAGCAACCGGGGGGCCGCGACCCCGGGGG